TCAGACATTTTAATATAAATTTTTAAATATAAATTTTTCTCCCAAAACATTATTTAATTATAATTTTAACAATATTTAATTAGATTTTATATACGTTTTTTTACTTATTGCTCGTACATATACTATAGTAAATACATAATATAAACGTATAATAAATTAAAGTAAAAAGTAAAAAAATCTGAAAAGAACAGAAAATTTTACTTCAAATCCAAAAAATTTTTGAAAATGTAATATAAATTTTTTTGTTACAAATTTTGGCAATTTATCTTAAAAAGTTACTCTCTCTCTCTCTCTCTCTCTCTCTCTCTCTCTCTCTCTCTCTCTCTCTCTCTCTCTCTCTCTCTCTCTCTCTCTCTCTCTCTCTTTCTCTCTCTCCCCCCTCTCCCTCTCTCTCTCTCTCTCTCCTTCACCTCTTCTTCAAAACTCTTATTTTGTCAAAATTGTAAACTGTTTTTATATTTAATACATTGATATTCTATCACATCATATCGATATTTTATTAATGATAAAAAGATATCAATTCGATATAAAACAATAATACATGAATAAATAATGTAAGACAGCGCGATGACACAATTACGGAAAATTCAACAAACCAAAAATTTATGCATGTGATAAAAAATAAAGTAGCGCATATGAGGCATTATATAAATTGTTAATGCGCATAATTTTTGATGGCAGACATTCTCAACGTTTTATGTCTTTCGACAATGGTGACTGGATTGTTCAATAGTAATATATAATTTTATTTTTTGTTTTTTGTCAATTTTTCTATCATTCGTAAAGATAATTAATATGATTTTTACAGCTAGTTGATCATGCTCAAAGAAGATTAAAAACAAAAGAAAAAAAGTTTTTGTTCTTACAAGTAATCTCTTTCAAGTGTTACATGCCAATTTTTTTCATTTTTTTGGATTTTGATTCAAGATGTCAAAAGATAACTTTTCATGTAAAAATTATTAATCTTAGCGTTTATACACGGTATCTCATTTTTACTGATGGAATAAAATACTTCAGAAATAACGCATTTCCCTAAAGAATGTTTTATTTAAACAAAAGTTGCTTGATTTCGAAAGAAATGTATAAAATAGTGACCTTCATGTGTAGTGTACGTAACATAAACTATAAATTTTTAGTCCTAGCAGTAAATATATATATATATATATATATTGGAACACATCCTACCCATCCAGCACACTTGCCCAAAAGCAAGACATAAGACGTCTAAAAGACGTCTTTTAGACATCTTTTAGAAGTTTTACTAAAAGATGGCTAAAAGACGTCTAAAAGACGCCTAAAAGGCGTCGAAAAGACGTCTTATGTCCCGATTTTAGACATGTCTGGTAATTTGTCCATTTTGTGATATTTAAAAAATATTTATATGTATAAACCAAAATATTTATATGTATAAACCACTACATTGAATAAAATTTTATTAATATTCATAGTTTGCAAGATGATCGGACTAGAAATTAAAAAAATAATTTTTTATTATATCTAAAGGTCTAAGAAAAAATGTAGTTTTTTTGCAGTCTAAATAGTTAAAAGCAGATAATCAAAAAATAGCTAAAATGATTTGTTTTAAATTTTTATTTAACTTGTTGATCTGGTCTCTTTAGGGGAGACCGGGGCTAGAAGTCACACGGGTAAGTTGTCACAAAGCTTATATTCTCACTTAATAGATTGAGGAATATTTTTCTCTATAACGTAGTTTGCTCCTATCGTGTTAGTCGGATATACGAAATAGCTCGTTTCAAAAACATTGCATGTGATATTTACAAGCACTTTTTAAAAATTGGATGTTGTGAGTAAATTTTTTTACCTTTATTTTTATTGTTTCGTTGGTTTTTGGAATTACTAGTCGTAATTTCTTTTTAGTCATAAAAAATATTATAGTTTTATATAATTCTTCCTCTATTTAGTTAACCGTCATTGCAACATAGTTTATAAATACAATCTTCTTTGTTCAAAATAATCGTTCAGGGTAAGTTGTCTCAAATGAGATGGGATTCAAAGTTTATGAGAATTATTATTCTTTTATTTACTCTAAGTTTATGAGAATTATATTACAAAGTTTATGAAAATTATTAATTTTTTGTTTAATTTATGCTGCAATATATTATTAAGTTAAATTTACCAAAAACTCACTAATTTTAATAAAATATTAAAACAGGAACTATTTGTCGTACGTGTCCTCTACATGAAAGAACATGTCAATCCAGAGTCATGTGACAACCAACCCTGGGTATGGGGTAAGTTGTAACATTTGCACGATTTTGCTTAAAATTAAATAACTTTTTTGTGTATAAATATATACAAGTTTAATATTTTTTTTTACACTTAAACGATGTAGCTACATTATAAAGTAGTATACGATATTATAAAATATTGCTAACATTTTTTTAAATCAGTATTTGAAAAGTGTGACAACTAGCCCCGGTCTCCCTTACTTGCAATCTTGATTTAAAATAGGCAAAAAAGGGAAGATAAGTAATTGAAAGAGATAAAATTATGACATCAAAACTTTAGAAGCACTTTCCTATAAAATTATATTTTTTTTACTTTTTCATATATTTTTCTTGGAAAGTAAACTGAACTGATTTTTATGATTTCTTTTCAAAAATAAATAAACTATAATTTAATCATAAAAATTTTTTTATTTTATCAAGAGTTACGAAAATGCAAAGTTACAAAAAACTGTCTTTTTTCAAATTGTAATTATGAAAAAGCTTATTTAAAAAAAAGCATTTATTAAAATAAAGCTAATCGTATGAGAAAATAAAAAAGACAAAAAATTCGAATGTACTGACTTAATGACGAGAAAAAAGAATTTAAAGATATAGGTAATTCTGCTCAATGATCTTCACAACATTGTGCATCCTATTCCTTACCATTTAAATGATCGAACAAATATTAATACTTATGATATTTCTTCATTTTAGGAAAAATTTAATGAAACGCAAAAAACTCCGCGCAATTCTTATGGAACATGTCTTTCGATAAAAGTGGCTGTAACTTCGCTATTTTATAGTTTACGACGTTTACGTGATGCTGATCAAAAGTTAATATTGCCGCAACCTCCGTAAGTTTGTTTGACTTCTGCAAACAGTCAAAATTCACAAATTTTATATATCCGGTTGTTATTTCTTACGTAAATCAAACGACTCAAAAACATGAAAATGGAGAAAAATAGTGATACTCTTTCAATGGAAGCATGTTTTAAATCATTCAAGCTCGATTCTATTCTTTCACCTCCAATAAAGTGGGCGGAGAGAAAAAGGGAGGTATCAGTAAAATTTTTCCAATTAACCTTTTAACGGCCAGTGGGAGACACATACGTTTCACTTACTTTAAAAAATTATAAGTACCTGTCTTCCATAAAAATTAACACATCGATTTTGTTAGGTCTCATTTTAAAGAGGAAAGTAGATAAGATAGTAAATTCTAAATACAAAGAAATTGCCGAACTTGAGGATACCAACCCTTCAGCTACACACTCTGTCAAAAAGTGCCAAAATCACGAAAAAATGAAAAATAAACATAAAGTTTAGACAAAATTTTTTTGTTTATCATTAGTTTATGTATACGTTTTGAAATAAAAACAAAATTATGTACAAAAAAGGGCCGCAAGAAAAATTACTTTTAATAGTGATAATACGCCAAAAAACACTCTTTATTTAAGGCTTTTAGAGCAGTCATTCTATTATTGTTTTTCAAAAACGTGATTTGGGGATGGCTAATCTTCAACAGGATGGCTTGGGGGTGGTTTTCATATCCTAGTAAAATTTTTCTCATTTGAGAATGATGTAAGCTGGATTTTCGACTTGTAACGTTTTACAGGGATGTTTTCTTCTATAAGCGTAGTAATGATCTGTAAGCGTCGTAAATTTTTTACAATAGGGTAAACTCGGGTAAAATAGCCATAGAGGAAAGATGGCCAACCTATGTTCTTTCAATCTAGCTCGCCATGAAACATCGAATGAACATGAGTTGGCCATCTTTTCTCTATGGCCATTTTATCCGAATTCACCCTATACCTGCATGTTCTAGAATATTTTTTCTACAATTTAGATCAGAATAAGTAACAGAAAATTAGATTACGACGTTTTTACGTTTAAGGTTGCCTCTTGCATGTAGAGGTAGTTTAGAGGGTAGAAAAATTGTGAAAAAAATTTTTTTATATATTTGATATCTGCTAACCTCAATCCACTATGAATTGAGTGTGTCTTACAAAAAAATCATTAAAGTAACAAATATATCTTTTATAGTTTATAAATCTTTTTTTGCATATTTGCAGATAAGACAAGTAAAATATATTTTATTGTCAAAATATAATATTTTTTATTGTATTCTCATACAATTAATAATACTTAAATATTGCAAAGTCGCTCGCACATGGCACGCACTCACAACGATAGTAGATTAAGTGAAGGGAACACCAAATAAAAAAAAATAGAACTTATTTGGTATTTCTATTTATTCTATGTAAGAAGTAATAGTCAGATATATAGGATTTGTGAACTTTGACTGCAGAAATCAAACGTTTTATGGAAGTTGTGGCAATATTATCTTTTGATCAACTGTAAAATAGCGAAGATACGGTCAATTTCATCGAAAGCCATTTTCCAAGACAGTGCTAAGAATGCGCTAAATCAAAGAAGTAAAAATTGACCAGCTTTATTTGTGCCCAGTAAGCAAGAAACATAAAAAAACATTTCAACTACATTGCATTAATGTTACAACATTGCAGCAACGTTGAAATGTTTCTTGATGTTTCTTGCTTATTAGGTAAATTTTATAACATTCCACTTCACAGAGGTATGAATTATATGTTTTCGATTGATGCTGAAATAACGATACAATAAAACAATATCAAATCACAACAATACCGTTGATCACACTTCTTTGTATAATATATATTTCAAGAATAAGATAAAATTTATTTTATTGTGTGTTATATAATTTACAAATATTAATTAAAACTGAAAACCTTTAAGCAGACGCCGTAATAAATATGTTTCAAATTTCATTGAAAAATGTTAAGAAATGTAAAAATTCTAAAGATTTCAATAATTCTTGCCTTCCTATTCAACATATAAAATACTGCCAGTTTTTGGAAAATGACACAAATTCAATAACAGGTTAAGTGTTAAAAATTTACTTAACATTACATGGATATTAGTAGACAAATTTCCTTTAAAAATTTAATAGAAATATGCCGTGTTTTAAAAAATTATGAAAAAATATTATTTAATTATTTAGATTAATAAAATAAAAAATACTGTACTATCTTATTTATTAATGCGGACATACACATCTCCACGAATATGTTTTATAATAAGCGGTTCCTTGATTCTTTTTGTTTTTGAGCATGAAGCAATTAAACCGTACACTTAATAAAATAAATCATGAAATATACTTGTTAAATATTAGAGAAATTTAACTGTTGCATATGAGCGCACCAAACACCATTGATACAAACACCATTATCAACTCTTTATAGGAAAAATCATCGCGTATAAATATTTATAAATTGGTTCTGTTTTTGATGCGTAAAAGTCGAATACAAACAAAATATTTATTAGATTAGAAATTCTTGATCAATTTTATTATAGAAATCTAGATATATACTGCAAATCCTGTACTTTTTACATTATTCCTAGTTTATATCTAACCTTCTGTGATCGTGAATCTTTGATTCGAATCATCGATCAGCACTGACATAACTCGCGCGTTTACATCAAAGTTTGTGATTTTCCCGCCCCGTCTCATGGATCTGATTTGTGTGTTCTTTTTGTTGAGAAAAGCAGAGACCGTTCACGTCCGAAAGAAAGAAGTATACTTAGCGAAGAGAATCGGCACACATTGCTGATCGGACGATCAGGGCTTGGCAAGGTCCGACATGTTAGAGCAGTAGTAAATTTGCGTGTGAACAAACGAATGTGTGACGAGTGTATCTCTCAGTAGCTTCGCTCAACGATGCTGGTCAACGCGTGCTGTCGGACATTGCCTGTAACATAGTGACACCAAGTGTGTGAGAGAGACAGTCGTCATCAGATGATTTTCGATTGAAATCGATTTATCGCGACAGGGATACCTAGTTCACTGATGTCGTCGCGCGTACCGATCGCGTGAACTCCAAAGTACGAAAATCCTTTGGTCACGTCTAATTTTACTTTCATTATTTTAACCGGTAAATATGCATAAAAGGTTACATTTCACCGATTTTATCGCTACTTAAATATATTGTAGGGGAGGTCTTTCTGAGTAATTCTACGCAAGAAAAAAGTGAGGGGTATTAGTTTAGAAGATACAATAAATTGAAGTTTGACATTAAAGTTTGTATATGCTGTAATAATATGTTATTCTTTTCACAATGAGTTAATATACAAGATAGATTGCGGCGATTGTGATGCAACATATATAGGGCAAACTAAACGTCAATTAATGACACGAGTTAATGAACACCAAAAAGACATTAAAAAACATGACAGCAATCACTCCGTTGTTAGCAAACACCGTGTAATTATGAAAATGTGTCCTTGAGTGCTCAATGGCGGTCAGTGGGAATGTATGGTTGCCCTACACAGTTGCAATGCGAATTATATGGAAAAGTTAATGGAAAATATTGAGTGGCAATAAGATGAATGGAAACGCAATGGCAAGATTCGAATGACAACTTTTTCCATACAGGCGTAATAGAAACTGCTAATGGCTTATGAAGGTTAAAACTTGTGTATGGAACTTGCAATGCGAATTATATGAAAAAGTTAATGGAAAATATTGAGTGGCAATAAGATAAATGGAAACACAATGGCAAGATTCGAATGACAACTTTTTCCATACAGGCGTAATGGAAACTGCCAATGACTCATGAAGGATAAAATTTGTATGGAATTTTTCTACCTTTAGCCAATTTGTTCAGTGTGAATTGTAATGGAAATTCGTCAATGATAAATGTGGCGGTTCGCGCCACTAGTGGTACATGCATCATCATCACGCCCGCGCGGTAACTGTATTACCGGCAGTTCGCATCGACGGCGCTAGGCGTCGCATCGTTCATGCATTTTCTCAAATTCAAGGTTCGGCACGGACTGGTATATGTATGAGACCCCCTACGGGACACCGAGGCATATTTTCAGGCGCTAATCGCCTAAGGCAAGAGCTCCTATTAGTTTGTCCGTTGAACCAAAGGCAATGGGAAATAAAGGCATTTATATTAAAGACAAAATGATACCATTTATTAAAATGCCATTGAATTCTTATTGTTTCAGACGCAATGGAAATAAAGGCATTTTTGCCAAAGATAAAAATTTCCACACAAAATCCCATTGGTATTGCCAATGTTAATACCAATGGCAATACTAATGGCAATACCAATGGCAATACCAACGGCAAAACCAGTGGCAATAATACCAATAGCAATACCAATGGGATTTTGTGTGGAACTTTTTATCTTTGGCAAAAATGCCTTCATTTCCATTGCGTCTGGAACAATGGGAATTCAATGGCATTTTTTAATGGCAATGAAGGGCACATTTTTATAAGGGTTAGGCCATAATTTCAAATGGTCTGAAACTGATATCATCCATAGGGAAAAAATACGAAAAAGAGAGAGATTGCAGAAATGTTTTTAATTAAAAAACACCCCAATACGACCAATTTGAAAAAAAATGCGGAAAGTTTGAACCCTATATATGATAAAGTCATTTCATCGCTATAAGCATCACGTGAGCATCGCATGTACAATAACAACCTAATGTATTTGTTAAAACCGTGGAAACGATCATTGTGTCTTGAAACTCCGACAAGAGAACACGCTTGTTGTCGGCGCTCCTTCGATGATGTATTGCTCCGTATATCTGAGCAACAGCGTTGCATCACGGGACGCACAATCGTCACGCCGTACTCATTCTCGTTTGTCACCAACTTACACACGTAAAGTATAGGTTTCAGAACACACGAGTTTTACTTGTAACACTTTTTTGGTTCATTTGCATTGACTTGACCATTGTTCTTATATAGTGACTTGTCTCCATGACTATTTCGGGTAAAATTTTTAAAGACACGGACGTGTGGTTTTGTGACATAAATTAACAGGTATCGTTTTTCATAATTTATTAAATTAGTATTAAAATTGTATCTCTTCGACCAAATTAATTTTGTTTTGTATTGATTGTCAGCTACATGCTTGAAAAGAGCCCGATCCAAGGGTCGAAACGTCGCGTTTTGTAATCATTGCCAATTATTAGTCGACAACAATAAACGTTTCGAGTTTAATCGAAAAAATTTTAATTAACAACTGATTTGAGTGAATTGAAGAATATTTTTCTTTATGTAATGTAACACCCATTTTAAAACCTCGTGCGTTATGGTCTTATAAACTTTAAACTATCATGTTACTGTAAACATATTTCTCAATTTTCCATAATTTTGTGCTTAAAACAATAACATAAAATAACAACAAAAATAATAACATAAATTATAAATGCTTATGTAATTTAAATATGTCATTAGACTCGTGAAAATGTCAACAAATTAATAAACTGCGAATACGAGTCAGGCGCGGTACGTGTTGCGCAAATAAAGAAAGTAATAGTTACAAAAATATCGAATTACAATGTATAATATACATATTATATATATTCCAATTTATAAACTGCGCGCCGATTATTTGTCGGACCTGAAACACAGCTATCGTTGGAACATTAATATTCTTCCCTCCCCGAAATTAAATCGACGCGATTTAATTATTTAAAAACTGTAAAGAATTTATTGCGAAAAATATTACCTCAGCCAGTGGATTAAATCGCTTTATTTTTTGAATTTTAAAACAAAAACATTAATTATTTAATAATAAAGTGACGGCAATTTATTTGCTCTAATAAAAGGAAAAGGCTTAGTACCATTATATGATTGAATGGTGACGATTTCTTTGTTATAATAACAAAAAAGAATATTTTTTTATATTACATTATAAAAGAATATAAGCATTATAATGATTTGTTGAAAAGTACACCGTATACATATAGGTACATAGGGGAGACCGGGGCTGGTTGTGACATTTTTTCTATAAAGTGTCTCAACTCTTTGATTATGTTGTTCTTATAAATAAATTTAGGCTTGCTAGATTCAGTAACTAATCGGGATTTAAATTTAATAAATAATCACTATAGCGTGATCATTTATCTCTTTCTAACGTTACTATAGCGTTTTCGGTTTAGCTACCGTTGGCACTGTAACAACCTACCCGTGTAACAACCAGCCCTAGTCTCCCCAACATGTATACGCGTAAGACCTAGAATCCATAATCAACGACTCCAGAGACTATACAGTTCAGCAATTACGAGCACTGCGTTGCTCGCTCTCTCGATTTCGTGATATAACGCATGTAACACGTATTGATTCCGCCCGGCAATAAATTCTCAGTTTTTCTCAACTAATTCGCAGTTAATTTACTCGCCTAACAGGTTATGAGCCCAGAGCGCTTTATCTGGAAAGTGCAGAAGGCTTTGTCTTGAGTATTTCGCAGTCGCAACTCGAAAGATATTGAAGTCGAGTGTACCCGTAGTCGAGCTTAACGGACAGTACACGCAGTGCGCACGTGTACAACGGTTCATCCTCGTGCGTAACGGGTAATACACGCACATAAAGACAATCGAGAAAAATGGGTGAGCCGATGCAAGTTTTGTTTGTGCACAAGTTAAATGGCAGCAATTACAAACTATGGAAATTCTAAGTAAACACTGCTCTGCGTGCAAAGGGGCTGATGAAATATATATGCGAGGGAGGTCGTGGCGGCCAATGCGACAGCGACAGAACGAGACACATCTGACACTAACGATAGCAAGGCTATGTCTCTGCTAATTTCATCCTTCGAGAGTGATGAAGCACAAAATCTTCTGACGTGTTCAACAGTAAAGGAAAGGACTATGCCCAGTTTGGGCCCCGAGTGAACAGTCATGAGTCATATATTAATTGATAGGGTACTCACGAAGTACGAAACAAAAAATGTTAATTGTCTAATTGAGGTCTGGTGAGCATATACTGACCTAATCTAAATTACAAATTATTAAAAAATAAAAATTTTTTATTATTGTTTTAAAGTACTCTTCAAACCATTCAACTTTTGTTTAAAAAAATTTTTTCTATCTTTTATAGTTTTGGAATTATTAGGCCCGAAAGAGAAAAGCCGATATTTTTCAAAAGAGTGTTTCAGCATCTAAACATGCATATGAGCACGTATAAAAAAATACGTGTTCCTTATTTTTGTCTAGAAAACAACATTTTAAAAGCTTATCAAAATCGGAGGGGTACACGTCCGTACCTTTCCTTGTTAGCCAGGTTAATAAAGTGTACCAAATATACATTCTAGACATATTAGGCGATTTTTGGCGATTGTTTGGTATGGTTTGATACATTATACCAAAGTTGCCATCGGTGATGGTTGCTATTGGTTCTGGTGCAGTTTGGTATCCTTTGGTTGCTTATACCAGAGTCACGCCAAAAATCGCCTATTATTTCAATGTCTTTGGTACAATCCGTTATCTCCGTTACCGCAGAAAAGCCTGGACGCAGAAAGATCGGACCAGACCAGTGGTACATGGTCATAATATGGTCATAATAGCGAACTTTGGACAGCTCTACCACTCAAGGGACCCGTTACAAAGTTCTGAGGTAATTTTTAATCCTCTTTTGATGCCCTACAATTCTAGCCATGTCTCATTGCTGTTCGCCGGAAGCCCAAATCTTCATATAAAACTGGGCATAGTTCTTTATGATAAACTCAGCGCAATTTATGCCAAAAAAAGTGAAGTGAGTGTTAGGACAATAAAAAAATATCGTAACTTTTTTTGTTGTTATTTTTTTTAAATAATATTTTAGCACAATGTTAGCACAACTTAGCACAACTTAGCACAATCGAAAAAATTGAAAAAAACGAAAAATGGGGGGTTGACCTAAAAATTATTTTTAAGTTAGCCCCCCACTTTTTGTTTTTTTTTTCAATTT